AAGAGTATTCATAGTATCCTAATAATAAATTATTTTAAATTTGTTTTTTATATTAGTTAATATTCATAAACACCTGCTTTTTTTGTCATTTTTAATTTTTTTGCAAATTTCCAAGGAAATTTGAGTAGTGGTCAGGTACCTTTAAAATATTGCCCCTTTTAGGATCAATCGTGAGTATGGGCCTCTATTTACATTCCTTTTTTTCCCTCTACTCGATTTTTATGAATCGTAGAATGTGATCAACCCTTTTCTTATTTTTCTCTGAGAAAATTGCACCTTTTTGCAGCAATAGTGATTATCGACCTTTATTTACATTTATTTCCCTTTAATCGATTTTGATGAATCGTAGAGTGCGATCATCCCTTTCCTTATTATTCTCTGAGCGAAGTTTGTTGTATTTTCAAGTCATTTTTTTTTTCTTGATAATATTTCTTTGCAATTTAAGGCCTAATAAAATCCAAACAAAAAATATGAAAGGGAAAAGGAACTATTGAATAATTTACTTGTCATAAAGCGGACAACCCTTTTTTTCTCTATTTCATTATACCACCTCTTTTCTCTCATCAAGAGATCTAATGATCGACTTTTCATGTTTGCTTATTTTACCATGCAAGCCTTGCTTTCATTTATTTTCTTGGTAATATTTCTTTGTAAATTGAGGCAAAACACAATCCAACAAATATGAAGAAAATAAAAGAGTTATTCAACAATTTAAATTATGAAATTTCTCGTTATAAAGCGGTAAACATTCTTTCACTATTATTTTTACCACCTTTTCTTTCATCAAGGGATCTAATGATCGTCTTGTCATATTTGCATATTTTACCATTTGACCCATGATTTCAGAGTATGAGGCTGGTTTCTTTTTCGCTTTCGAAACGAATTAAATTAGTTGCTTAGATTTTTTTTAATAATTGTATTACATAGCCTCATAGAAAAAACCTGTATTGTTTTGTACCTCTAATTAAAAAAGGTATAACGGCAAAGGTAATGTTTTTGGACTTTGGCAATTAAGCCGGCTAGCATAAGCTGGCTTGTGTGCTAACTAACAACCAAGACAAGCCAAGGTCATTGCTAATCATGAGATTAGATATTTTAAGATATAGGATGGTTTTCTTTTCATTTTCTGGATTTTTTCTTTATCACAAGCAAGTCTTCTTAATCTTGCAAGATACATTCTTAAGAATGGCAGCTGGTGTAAGGCATGAAAAACATGTATTATAATTTACCGATCATGCATACAGCTGCTATTTGCTATAATTTTGGTGCATAGACGATGTCATGATCCTTAAGAAATTCCAAAACTAGACACATGTTGATTTTCTTTTCTGCCTGCCTGACGATCTCCATTAATGTGTATGGCCAATGTTGTAGGCTATTTTACGCACACGTTTTGTTTTAAAATTTCCGACAAAAATTACTGGAATTCCTGCAAGGAATCAATTGTGAAAACCTGACACCGTACGCCGCCGCCTGCCCGCATATTATCATGCCTTGAAGTAGTAGGCCTGGTGTTTTTTCCTTTCTTCTCTTTTTTGTGTCTATACTTGTAAATAACTTTTGTGTATTTCTCTGCGTATTTCTCACCTGCATTCTGCCAGCGAACAGGTATCCGAACATTAACATTGCAGCTGTTTTCAACAACAAAAATTACTACCCCTTAATTTTTCGTAAAGAATTCCACATTTCAATGGCTCACAAAACAAAATAAATGACTTGTTACATTTGTTGTTATTATGTGGATGTAAAGCCTACAGCCACACTGTAGTTTTTAAATTTTAATATCTTGGCATTTTACACGATATTTTGCAATTGTTATTTATGGGTTTTGAACATTATCATAGATAAAAGTATTTTTTTTTGTGGTTACACAGATAAGTATGTACACAGATAAAAAGAAAAAAAGAAGCTAGGCATTATGTAAACAACATGAAAATGTAACAGATTGCGGAAAACATAACAAAAAAAAACTAATCAAAACCAAATAGATTTCAAATGGCGCCCAACATCTGGCATCACCCTTTTAACAAAATTCTCCGTATTCTAAAAAAAAAACTACCAAATAAAAAGTCAAAGCTATACCATTTTAATAATCCAAAGGCTTTGGGAGAAAACCTCCTCTTAAAAACCTCCTAATACTCGAATGACTTTTGTTGCAATTTTGCCCAACACAATTTTTTCTCACATTAAATCACTACGAAGTATATTTTCCCTGTTTCCCCAAATGATTTCAAATGGCGCCCAATGTGATCTCCAAACACTTTTCACAACACTGACAATCTTTTATCGCCATCTCAACAATTTCAATATTTCCCAAATCATTTGTGACATTTTTCAATTCAATAACTTCCCCTACTACATATTTCAATATATAAACTTCTTTCTGAACTTTTTTTCCAATGCCGCACATTTGAGTTTATTTTTTTATATGAAGTTTAATGATTTCATGTAAATTTAGCATAGCAAAAAAACAACTAATATTCCAAAAAACCTGATTTACCGTTTAGTTTGAGTGAGTGACTTGTAACCGAACAAAATTCCCACGCTCAAACCCCAAAATAAAGGAGAAAAAAAACCATGCATACTTTACAGTGAACATTTGAAGCCCAATATCGTGAATCAGTTGTTAGTTTGAAATTGAAATATACCACTTTTTTGCGCATAACGAAACCAAGTAAACGATGAAAAAACCTAACAACATTGGCGGCAATGCGATGATGACGACAACGACGACGACTTTAACATCCATTCATACATACGCCATGACAACGATGACGATAAATGTACAAACGCGATCTCAACAACAATTGCAAATTGCAAAAGTAAAGGAAAAAATAGTTTGCCTGCTTCTGCAATGTTGGACAAGCAATGAAAGAAAAAAGATTGTTGTTTTTGTCATTTATAAAGTGCAGAAAGATGGAAAGGAAATTTTCTCACGCTCTTTTTTTTATCGTGCAAAAAAAAATGAAGATGTTCATTTACGTGATGGAAAGAAGCTGGGAAAATGTAAGATCTTCAATTGACAACAATTGATGTAATTTCTTGTTAATTTGATTAATTTTTTAAATTCATTTTAAACTAGAAATCCTTAAAACTTTCTTTAAATCTTCTAAATCATCATTAAATCACTTTTGCAACGAAAAAATGGGACTATTTTGCCATTTACCGCTCTAGTTTAATGTGTGGCCAGGCCACTTTAGATAAGTTATTATTCACTGCAAACATGCGAACCCTGCTTAATTTGGCACCATTTCCCTTATATACTTCTCTAACAAGTACTAGAAGCTTAAGAGCGGAATTTATCAAAAAGTGAGATGAGGAATAACAATATTTTTGTATTTCGTCTTTATTTCTCTCCCATAAAGTTTGCATTCTTTATATCTTTCGAAGAAATATTTATGATTTATCTTAGTAACCCATGATGTGAGCCGCCCTTGTTTTTACCTTTCGTGTCAAGAGGCTAACTCTCCTTGTTCTGCATTTCCTGTTATTTGGCGGCAAATCTCAGGAGAGTGTTTATGGGGCAATATTGACAAGCCATTTGAAGGAACAACAAATCAAATATTGGACTGAGTATTACTTATTATATTTCCTTGCCATATTTAAAGTATTATTATGCAAATAACAACAATGTGAAAGGGTGAAAATGAAGTATTCTTAATCCCTCTCTTTAGTTGCAGTTATTATTTTCCAATAGCATAAAAAGTAGACGGACAGAATTAAAAAGCATTAACAGTCCTTAGGAAATTTGCAACCAAATGCACATAATACCTACCTGTTAAGCCTCTTAAATAAATGCTTCTCTGAAAAGCATTTCCTATGCAACAACAAAAACAATTTCAGCACTCACAAAAGAAGCCTTACGTGAACAAAAAAACAAGTCTTGCAAAAAACCACAACTTCCTTTAATACACCAACTAAAGAGAGTAAAACATTGGCAATTTAATATAACTTCATATCAGTAACCAGACAAGAAAAAACTTCTTAAGGAAACGACGAAGAAAAGAACCAAAGAGAAACAAGGCAACTACTTCCGTTTGCGGTAAAACGCCAGGCAGCTCATTTGTAACGTTTACACATCAATGACTTTTTTGTCGCTTGCAACAGAACTGTAACAACAGCAACAAAATTATTGTCATATTTTTTATTCATTAGACATGTTGGCCAACCCAACTACCAGCAATGTATGGGTCAATCGACTGTGTTGCAAAAGTTTATTAAACTTTAAGTATACCATAGTCATCCACAATAAGAACCACACAATAAAGCAACAGCAAAACAAGGGTAATTTGATAACCCACACAATGCAAAAAAAAAATGAAGATAAAAAACGAGAACTTTGCGACTTAGATCATGGCCGAGCTTAACTTAATGGAGAGTAACACAAGGGTGGGGGTCTTTGTTGTTTCTTTTGTAAGCTTGTTTGCCACAATTAAGTTTGCCACCACAAGACATGTATAAGGGTCACATGAGGTAATATTTTTATTTACAATATTAAAATAAACACTTTTCTGTAAACATAAATCAGGCAAAGCACTTTGGCTCCATTTTAATGACTCTTCTTCGTTTCCTTAAAAATTCGTGGGTATCTGTATCAGTATGTGAGAAAGAGGGAGAGAGAGAGAGAGTAAGCCCTTGTTATTTTCGCCACCTCTTTGTGTTAATCACTGTTATTGGCAACTGAACTACCCAACAAAATGAAAAGCGCTCCTTTTACACATTTAAACGAGAACAGTTTAGGGGCCATATTTTTTATTTTTATTGCTATAAAACATTTATTAAACATGTTCACCTCAAAACTTTCAAATAAGCTAATAAATAAAGCATTATATTTGTTTCTCTAGAAAAATCTCCATATGTTTGAGAGATCACACCCCAATCACACTTTTAAATGACCCAATGCATAACATTTCATTTTAATGGAAAATGAAAAAAAACACAAAAACATAAATTCTAATACACTTTCTTTTATGGATAAAAAAAAAAAAAAACAGAAAACACTTGGGCTCCAAATCAAAAACTCCATTTCCTCTTATAATTAGTGTCATTAAGTCTATTTCGCTTTCCACATCTGAATGTATGACACATCATTATGTGTAGCAATTTCCATTAAACTCCACTCAGCATTCTCCTCTTCACCTCTCCCCACTTTATACCATAAGCATACTTTATGCTCCCCCCTAACATAGAAATGAAAGATAAATTTGTGTAATTGAGTGAGACTTAATTTTTGAACAATTTAAGTTTGTAATAGGGTTTATTGTTGTAGGCACACATCATTATCGCCATAGGCAGCAGCTGCCGTGGTTTATTAACAGCCTGTTCCACGATCTCGAAAGAAAATTTGTGCGAACGAAGGCTACTCACTCACTTTCGTATAAGAATGCGTTCCACTAACTTTCGTTCTTTCTTTCGCATAGCCTTACGTGATTCAGTGTTGCTAAATATTTTTTGGCAAAATTAATCGCAAAATAAAGCAAAAAAAAGCGCCAAATGTCTAATTTAAACGCGAAAAAGCAGCAGTGGCTGTGTCTCAACTGACAGTTCAAACAAATTGTAAATAAACAAACAAAACAAAATTTTTAGTGATTGTGTTCAAATTATTTGTGTTCTTAAAAAAGAAAAAAATGAATATTTCTGTAGCCCTATTTTTTATGGATGATGAGGAGGAGGTTCAAAATGTGCCACGGAGGCATTTAAGAGATTCTTCGAATTTATTTGAAGTACCTAACAACCAGTAAGTATGATTGTATTTTTACATTTTTGAAATAATAACCAATGATTTTTACTAGGTTTGTGGCCAATTTTCGTGTGTCGAAGGAAGTTTTTCGGGCTCTTTTGGATATGATGGATATGATGCAGCTTCCAAAAATTGGCACTCCTCTGGCGAACTCAGGATTCTCCTACATATACTCAACTAGTGCCCGCAGCTGTGTAGTTGATTTTTTCGTGCTGGCATTTAGGAAATAAAAAAAATATATTTGTTGTTCACATTTTAAATTGCATTTATTATTTTTACTTACATTTTTGTTTCCATTTTCAATCAAGCAATGCTTATGTTAAAACAATTTTCCTTAATTGTTATCATACGACAGCAAAGACACAAGTGACTGATTTTGACATTTGTGTTCGCATGCGAACGAAAGAAAAAAGATAGTGGAACGCAAAATTACACTGAAATGCTTACGTTTACGTTCGCTTTGATTTTCGTGCAAATTTTCGTTCTGATGGATTTTAGTGGAACGGAAATCAGCTGTTTGTCGTGTAAAAGTTGCGCGAACGTGTTCTTTCGATATCGTGGAACAGGCTGTAAGTGTTTGTGGTCTGTTAAAGTAATTTGTAAATTATTAAAATGTAAAAAAGTGTATATTAAAGTTTTATGATAGAGTTATCAGCTGTTCTCTCTCGCACAAGTGGCCATTTTACCCATTGAGAACAATGACCGAGGAGAAGTGACGTTTGATGTGTTTGACAGCGGAAGGTTAAAGGGTTGCCCGTACATGAATAAGATGTCATTGAGATTTTGGATTTTTGGACATTCAAAACAAATGAAAAAATTATTAAGAAAATTATTGAGGAATTAGCAAAAAAATAGACTATTACATTAGAAAATTGTATTTTTTCTTTTAAATACCAAAGTTAACCAAACTTTATTAGACTTAACGGTAAATATTATTTAGTTTTAACTGCGGCAGGTAAGAGTTGCCACTACTTAAGCAAAATATACAATATAGAAATACAAAAATTATGTGATCTCAAGGTTTAACCTCAAATTAGCTTTATCTCGACCATAAAAATGCAAAAATATAAAATATCACCAAAAATTTAGCACCAATGTGGGTGATTTTCATTAACATTTTGCTAATTTTAACAAAAATTCTTTAGAAAAAATACAACAATTTTTATGTTAACACTAATTAAGCCTCCATAATGTCGAAGCAAATGATTCAAACCCCCATACCCATATTAACTGATAATTACTATTATTAGCTTTTAATTATTTTTATCTTAACAAAAAAAAGAAAACAACAGTTTGTTTGTGGGCCAGCAAGCTTACACATCGCAACTTTGTAAATAAAAACCTTCCTACCACGCTTAAAATTGCTTTTGGATTACGTATGCCTTAATATGTGGGCCGATACCGCTCCACATATTAGATTATAAATTGCCAAACAATGATTGTGCAGGTGGAACCACGCATTTTTTTTTTTTGGAATACTCATTCATTGATCAAACCAAAATACTCATATGTAAATTTTGTCTTTTATTTCAAAGCAAGAAGTAGGTGTAAAAAGAGTATTTTTTTTTAATTTCGTTGTTATTGCTGTATCAATTACATAACTCTAGAAACATTGTTAGTTGATTGTTTTTCTTCTAAACGGCCTTTGTAAGGTCACATTTCACTTTTAATATTCAAATTATGCCATGTTATTTCCGTTTTGTTTAATTTTTTTGGTCATTACATTGTTAGGTGTAATTGTTGAATGACGCTTCCCCATTTCCGTTTTTGGTTTGAAAAGTTAATGGTTTTGACATTACATGTAACAAATTAATTGATGACACATGCCGCCGCCGACATGGATTTAAAGGCCGTTCACGTTACGAATTCAGCTTTGATTTAGAATATGCCGCAAAAGGAGTCATAACATGGAATAATTTTCACTCCAGTTAAGTAGTAAAGGCGACACTCACCCGTTGTGACACGTGACCTACTACCCACAGCAGTCACTTAGCTTAACAATCAGCCAGCTAACCAGTCAACCTACACAAAATTGGCATCTAACGTATGTTCAAATGGTAGCGTGCCTTAGGTTACACCCAAACACTATAATTTAAACATAAATATATAAATAAATATCAACGATTTTATTTCTTTATTTTTTTTTTTTTTTTTCAAAAAGAAAACGAAGGCATTCTTATTTTCTTGTAACTCTAAAGATTAGCTCAGTTGTGAAGAAAATTAAATCTTTTATTTTAAAAACAGCCATGCATTCATCACATGAAATGTGGTTTTGTGTGCATGGACCCCTTCTAAGAATCGGATATGCATGTCGTCTATCTATGGAAAACAAAAACAGAAACTATGTGCCATATCATTCATGCATACAGATGACAAGTTTATTTTTATTTATTTTTCTTCCCCCTTTTTTATTTATTTTTGAAGTAGATACATACTATGGTGTCACCCAACCAAATCGCCGCCACCACGCCAGACCAATAATATCATCTGTACTTCTGTTGCGAGATACTATTTTTACTCACAATTTGTAAATGGCATAAAGTTTATTCGCCTTTAATGAGAGGTTTCTTCTTCCGTTTTGCTTTTTATCTAAAACATTTTCTAGACTATTCAGTTCATCAGTTGCATTAAACAGTATTTGTGGTGTGTTCATCCAAGCATTGTATTTTACATTTGTGTGTTATTATTAATATTTCTTGTATTAAGCCATTCTGAGGCAGGGAGAAGATATACATTAGGCATTATTGCTAATTTAATCAGCATTGTAGGCAGTCAAGCGTTTTAAAAAAAGAGTTGGTTTTTACCCAACACCACCACCTGTAATCAAATAGAAATCCATGAAGCGTTTTGCTTGAAATACCTATAACATTTCATGATAATTACAACAGCAACAAATTATAGATTCCTAATAATTTCTCTAGCCAGTTAGAATGGAAAGTTGTTAACTATTTAATGAGCAAGAAAGAAACAAAGAGAAATTTTGCTTATGCTAGTCATGCAATGATTATTTCAAAAGAAAATCTAACGTTTTTCATTTTGGTAGGCCGTGTAATTATGACAGTAAGGTAACCCTCTTGAATTGCGGCAGATAAAAATGCAGCATAAAGGATAATAGGAGGGAGATCGACAAAGAAAAAGAGAGAGAAATGGTTTTTTTTTCAGTGAGACAACTTCTGATTTATATTAGTTTAATTAATTGTTAAATTATGTGAAAAATTATATTAACAAAAAACTTTAAAAAGAAATTACTAAATTAATAATAATTATGACATGATTTAGTCACTATTAATTGCTTCTTTTTATCAAAATAGGAAAATAGGAATCTGTTTTTCCAAGAGTATTCTCAGAGAGACATCATGTTTGTTTTGGTTTTTGATGTGTGAGAGAGCTGAAAGGGAAGTCAGCTGCTTTCTCTTTTACACTTTGCAAATTAAATGGAAAATTGCCGTTTTTTAGATTTGTTATTAAAATATGAATTTTCATCGAGAAATAAGAAGAATGACCCCATAACTTCCCTATAAAGCACAGTATGAGTGCAAGAAAGCATTCGGCTGTTCTATTTTTCTTTTTTTGCCAAAGGGCGGACCAAATTGTGAAATTTAATTAAATTAAATTGTAATCAAAATTAAAACAAAAAACACCATTTTTATAAGAGATGAAAAGCAGCAGCTTGAAATCGCTTTGGTTATTATTACAACCAAAAGAAAATTTTGTTTTTATCAAACCCAAAAAGAAATCGAATATTCAACAAGATTTCAATTGAAAATGTGGTATTATTTATTACTATTTTTGCCTGCGGATAATAATTTCCTTTAGTTCTTTTTCTAGAAACCCGTCACTCCCACTCCAACATATTTTTGTTCAAGTGCCAAAATAACATTTCCAATGCACATTTTTGCCGAACAAGGGGGATGGTGTAAATGTCATATGCTTAAACCCTTGGTAAACTCCCACAACCAAGCATTTGTGAGTGGCAAAGGGAAGTTTATTCTTTGAAATCCTCGACAATATTCTTAAAGAGGATGGGGGCAGGACGATGATAATTCAATGTTATTTTAGCCGAATCCCAATGGTAATTTTGAAATATCATGAACACATGTTCAGATTATATCCTTGCCAAGTCATTGCCGGGGATTTGTAATGGAACAAGTGTGCACTTGTTTGCTTGTTATGATGCCAACAAAATTTTGTGTATTCTATGGCAACGATTTGTATGTGACAGACGGTAGCCATTACAGCTTAACAAATTTTGCAATTACTTCGGGACTTTGTGGTCATTTTTGGGATTTTAAGTAAGGGAAATATTGTTGGGTTTCCCTGAAGGATTTATAACGTGTACAGGCTTAATATTTTTGGTGTAATTTGCAATACCACAAATAGGATTATATTTACTAATCAGCCAGAGATTAGTAATTGAGATATGAAGTATCGATATTTTCCAAGAAGAAACATTTTAAGATGATACTATTTTTAAATATTATGGAAATACCGTACATTTTTCTATTTTATTTTATTTTTTTTTTTTTTTTTCGAAATACTATTAAAATTCCCTTTGATATTCAAAGTAATATAAGAAAATAGGTAAGCATATTTTAAATTCAATTATTTAGTCATACACTAATGGCAATAGATGGAGATATTCCCATATAAAATGCCGCCATGTATACTAATGACTTCCTTGATTCATTGCTAGAAGTCAAGAAAAAAAACATGTGGAGAAATGAAATGAATAGAAAAAATTGTTCCTTCTAACAAAACAAAAAAAAACTGTTAAAATATGAAAACTTTTCGATTTAAACATAAATCAGTGTTTAGTGAACAAATTGTTTGGCATTAAGTCGTCTGTGGTCGGGGCGACAAGGCAAGGCGGGCGAGGCGAGGCGAACATTTCACATAAAAAATACATGTAAGATGAACGTGATTTCCTTTCCAGCCCGTTTGGTAGCAGTCGTATCAATCAGATATTACTGTTGCTGTTGTTGGTAATTGATACAAAACCATGGAATTTTCTTTGGGGCCATGACAAGAATATTTTAAAGGCCACAACAACATTGATGGCCTATAAAACGCCACTCAATGTTTGCTGGTTGTACACATGAAAGCTTAGCCATTTCATGAAGAAAAACATAATTTATTCCAAAACGTAGTTAATTTGTGTTGACAAGGCTCTGTATTTTTCTTTCAAAAGACGCCTTACATTTAAGGCCGTAGTAGTCTTCTTTTCTTTCTTTCTTTAGAACGGAAGTAAATTCAATTGGATCATGTTGTCTGCTTCATAGAATGCCAGCATAGCGTCATGTTTTTGCTCTTATTGCTCTGTAAAACGTGTTTTTGAGACTTCCTTTTTGCTTTTGACAGCCAGGCAGACGAACTGCAGCTTGTAAATACATACACATTAACTAAAGGCAGGTCTTTGTTTTACAAGAATGGCTGAGCTGCTTTTATTCCCAAGAAACGGAAGTAAAGCTAATATTCATATTTCTGCTTCCAGGAGCATCATTCTCAACACATCTTTGGGAAAACACATCTTAAGAAAAGAAATCATTGAACTCTTGAGATTTTTTGTTCTCTTTTAGAAATAAAATATCATATTACCTGAATATCTTCAAAAATCTGTAGTACATCATCTTTAAACGGGGCAATGTCTTTTCGGGGATACTTTTTTCTCTACTTTTTGTCTTGTCTTTTGTTACCTAGCAACAGCCCATTATGTCTGGGTCCGTAATTATTTTCTTCTTTCTAAAGAACATCTGTCGTTTTCCAAAAGAAAACAACCCCTAAATTTACTTGCAATATGCATGAAATTTGTAACGCTTTTATGTTGTTGCTTGCATTTTAGATTTGTTTGTCGATTCGATCATCCCTTATTTTCTTTTTGAACTCTTAAAAACAACCCTCTGTTGCACTACAAATTATACCTGCTTCTATTTTTATGTTGTCTTTGTTTTCTCTCTTTAAATGCTGTTCCCCTTTTTTAGACACAATCTTAAAGATCTTCTTGTTTTACGAACCCTTACATGTCCCAAAAGCAGGTTTAGTCTTTGGTTCCTTATGTAAAGAAAAAAAAAACGCTGTCTACAACCACAACATTGAAAAGGCAGCTGGCGCATGCCCTTATTGTCGGTTTTTTTGTTTTTTTTTCTTCTTGATAAATGCGTATAAAAATTGTTGTTTGTCATCTGGAAAGTTCTTCTTGTTGTTGTGGTGGGGATCCAATACAGCATATGCATTACCGATCGTCGCCCCTCAAATGTATTGTATTCAAGTCGTTGTTGTTGTCTTGAAGTTTTTGGCACGCGCCGCCATAAGAGGTATCAAACTTATGTTGTCTTCGGGGATTGTCCTTTGAACTTGATAAATGTAAGCTTGAAATAAAAAAGCTAAAAATAAAATACACATAAATATAACTCAAAGAGTCTGATGAAGTTGCGGAGGCAGACCAAGCTTTGATGAAGCCTAGTTACATACATGGCACATTTAGTTTGCACTTGTTTCATTGTTGCCTGCCCCCATATGGTGTTTTTCATTCACTGCTGTGGTACATCTTATAATTTATTGTATTTTTTCGTTTTAATATTGAGATATCCATTAATATTAAACAAAAGTTGGTTGCGTTCTATTATTCAGATCATCTGTTATGGGAGAGAAATGACAGTTTACACAAATTACCGTATTACGCACTCGAAACAACTCACAGATAATTGATACCAAAGTACGTTTTTAAAATATGATATTATTTATTTATCATTTAAAATATAGGAATGATAGCAAAATAAATTTAAAATGTATTATTTTTTTCATAATCCTTTGTAAATGAACGCATTTTGTAACTACCAGTTTGTTTGAAATACTCCCAATGCATTACTGTACTCTTCTCTCCCATGACACAACACACGGCCGATTGATACCAACTAACGCCGTTAAAACATATGAATGTGTTATTCAGAGGGAATTTAATAAAAATAAATTACTTAACTCTTTTGCTAAATGTTTGCATTGTTTTTCTTTTTTAAAAAGAGTCTAGTGGAGGTAACTTAAATGTTTACTTTCCTAAGTCACTCTCACGCCGTACCCTCACAACTCAGAGACAGCTTATATCTATTATCGCCGTTAAATGAAAGAAATTAACGAACTCTTTTTAAAATAAATAAAAACTTTATGCAAGACAGAAATAATTACTAATATATAATATAAATATATAATATAAATAATTACTAATATAAAGTTAAAAATTAATGTTTTTACAAAATTATTGGAAAGAAATAAAATGAAACAAATAAATGTGTTTCTAAAACACTCTCGTTGCCCATCCCTCTCAAGGTCTTCCCACGCACAGACACAAACGCCGCTAAACACAAAGGAAATTAAAAAAAATCAAGTTAAAAATAATCCAAAGATTATTATAATTAATTATAAATAATATTATATATTAATATGTTTCCTTTTCTTTGCAGTTCGTCGCTCGCCCTCATCTTGCCCTGGACCAAACAACTTGCCACCACTGCAGTTTCATCATGTACATGGTGATAACATTAGAATATCACGAGATGGCACAATTGCACGTCGTTTTGAAAGTTTCTGTCGGGCCATTACATTTTCGGCCCGACCAGTGCGCATCAACGAAAGGATTTGCGTGAAGTTCTGTGAAATCTCAAATAATTGGAATGGTGGTATCCGTTTTGGTTTCACCAGCAATGATCCGGCCACATTGGAGGGTACATTGCCCAAATATGCCTGCCCTGATCTAACGAATCGTCCTGGCTTCTGGGCCAAAGCTTTACATGAACAATACTGTGAAAAGGATAATGTCCTCTATTACTATGTCAATTCTGCCGGTGATGTTATCTATGGTATTAATAACGAGGAGAAGGGTGTCATCTTGTCGGGCATTGATACACGTGGTTGTTTGTGGACTCTCATCGATATCTATGGCAATTGTACGGGCATTGAGTTTTTGGATGCCCGTGTTTATATGTATCAACAAAGTGGCGGTGTGGGCTTACCTCCGTCTGTTTTGGCGGCCGGTATGACAGGTACCTTGCCGGCTGGCTCCCAAATGAGCGGCCTAAATCCCCATCATCCCAATCAGCAATCAAGAAGATCTCTACCCTCTACAACTGGCTATGACCATGAACTGGAACGTAGCCTTATGCCCTCAATGCAATCGTTAAATATAACCGGTGACCAGGTGGCCATTGCCTCGGATTTGGCCAATGGTTTGCCACCGCTACGTTATAATGGCTCTGGTCGCCTTATCCCTGTACCCTTCCACATCACCAAAGGCCGTAATGTACGTTTGTCACATGATCGTTTTATTGCCTCACGGACAGAAAATGATTTCTGTCAAGGATATGTTTTCACTGCCCGTCCCATCAGAATAGGAGAAAAGATAATTGTACAGATCTTGAAGACCGAACAAATGTATGTGGGTGCCTTGGCTTTGGGTTTGACATCGTGCAATCCTGCCGCATTGCAACCAGGCGATTTACCCAATGATTCCGATTTCCTTTTGGATCGTCCAGAATATTGGGTGGTGAGCAAGGATATTGCAGCTGCCCCACAGCGGGGAGATGAGATTGCATTCTTTGTTGCGCCCAATGGTGAGGTTACCATTAGCAAAAACAATGGCCCAGCTGTGGTGGTGATGCATGTCGATCAATCGCTGCAATTGTGGGCCTTCCTCGATGTCTATGGCTCAACCCAGTCGGTGCGTATGTTCCGCCAACAGCTGCCAAATATGGTGAATTATCCACCAAATGCAATAGCGGGTTCCTCGCAACGCATAGTCAATATACCCGTATCGGAATCAATGAATAGTCTGAATAGTCAAATATCGGAAAATCGCAAAATTATTCATCCCTCCCAGCTAAATGTAACACATGGCACAATCAGTGCTTCAACCTCAACACTGGCCTCCATGCAATCGACAAATAATTTGGCCGGCGGTGGTCAAACCTCAGGTATATTGAATGGCACCTGTTCGCCACCCAGTGCAACGACGGGACGTATGATTAGCATGCCCTCAAATGGTGAAATGATACAAATTCAACCCACCAATGGTGGTGGTACTGTACTGGTTGTGAATTTGCCCCCTGCCACATCAGCTTTGGATTTGAATGGTCTGGCGACGTCGCAGGCAAGGTTAGCAGCCACAACAAATAATGGTGGTGGTGGTGCGAATAATTCAGCCACTTGTTCAAGTGGGGCAAGCAGTAATTCAAATGTAAATACACTTGTGGGAAATATCAATAATGGACAATTTATTGAGGTTAGTATTTGAATGAAAAAATTTAAATCAATTCATTTATTCTGCTGCTAATTGAGAATTGTTCAATTGGCAAGGTCGTGATCTTGTTCGGCTGATATTTATGTACTTCTCTTTCCTTCTAATTTCTAGACTAACACTGCCTCTTCACTAAATGTGGCTGCTGCCACAAACAACAAATGGTCCAAGGATACCGTGGACAACTCAGATTCAGCTGGTGCTGAATGTACAATCTGCTATGAAAATCAAATTGATTCGGTACTCTATAGTTGTGGCCACATGTGCATGTGCTATGACTGTGCCATCGAACAATGGCGTGGAGTTGGCGGTGGCCAATGTCCATTGTGTCGGGCTGTTATACGTGATGTTATACGTACTTATACTACATAAAATAAGAAGTTTGGATAGATAAAAGAAATTAACTATTCTGGATAAAGCTTATGAATGCAAAGAAAAGCAAAAATCATTTCTTGCGAAAATGCAACAACAACAAATCCCACTATTATAATACTATGTAGATCCTATGGAACCCCCTGACATTAAATAAAAAAAAAAACATGAACATAAAAAATGAAAAACTCGCAAATATAATGGAATTTTTAAAAAAATGAAACAAAAAAACAAATGTTGTTTAAGTTAGAATAGAATTATAAAAAAAGTAAAACGAATTGTTATTGCTGCAAAAACTTGAATATGATGGTAAACAAAAGACAAAATGTAATGGATTTTAAAAAATTAAAAAAAAAAAAAATTATGGTATTAATTATATATATGAGTTTTAGGTTTCTCTTTATACTAAGTATTATGTGATTTATTTTTTATATAATGATAATTGTATTATAGAATTTAAACAATAAAAACAAGAAAATGCCAATATATTGTCAAAAAAAAACAATTATGCTATTTTATAAAATTAGAACAACAAAAAAGCAAAAAGTTGAATGCTAAAGAAATGCCTTTTAGAAGTTATTTGGTTGAATTAATTAAAAACAGAAAAAAAGAAATTGTAAAATTATGATATTTTCAGGTTAGGTTTTCCTTTTTTGATAATAAGTTGCCTATTTTTTAATTTATTGTATACAACAAGAAATCCGCAAGCAATTGTAAACATAAATGGCTCAATTATGATTAATTTTTTTTTAACAATTTTATACAAACAAAGCTAAATCCAAATTTTGTTTTTTAAATTTTAAGTTTTTTATAAATTTTTTTCTTCTTTAACTCACATAAAACCAAAGTATTTGTTGGATTTCTAATATTTCAAATCAAAATCAATGCCAATTGTGGATGTTGCAATTTCGATGTTTACTTTTCTTTTCATTTTCGGAACACTTTTTTCTATTTTAATTAAAGGTTTTATCTCTTGCGACAACATAGTTTCTTCACTATTGGCTATAATAATATTTTAAAATAAATTTCTCAAATAATTTGTTTATTAATGCAATGAAATGTTAAAACTCATGATTGACAAGATTTCTTTTATGCCTAATTTGATATGTGGCCTGGTGACTTTATTATTTTGCATTTAAGTGTACGGTTGATTTACTTTCATTGTCCAGGTTATGATCTCTCTCTCCCTCTCTTTGTAATAAAGGGGTAGAGAAGATACCGTAATTCCCACTTTGTTTATTAATGTAATAAAATTGTAATAAAATTAATTAAAAAGAAACTAAAAAATTAATTTTATTATATATTTTAAGGGAAATTATTTATGAAATAAATCAACCTTCCACACAAACAAAACGAACGACTTTCCACATCTAAGCACTGCTGTCTCAATTAAAGCCTGCCTTTATAACTATGATTTTCATAGCTCAACTACTTTTGTTTTTAAAATGAATTATTTTTAAATTTCTTTATTAAGTAGTTGAGTCTCAGTAAAAAAATCCTTACATCCAACAAATGAAAAATACAAAAATCAAATCATGACACCAATTAATTACATCCCAAATAAAAACAATATCACATCAAATAATGCTCAATGATTATTTTTAATCAAAGATTAACCCAAATCAATTACAAATAATTTATTACATAAACATATTTATTGATTAATATTATTACCACAATATCATCATCACACAGCCTGCACATTTACACACACAAAATAATAATAATAATTATTTTTTCATAATTTTATTTTTTAGTTTATTTTTTTTATGATAATAATAATAATGATGAAACAAAATCACACCAATTATATTTAAACACACAACACAATAAGTCTGTAATGTTTATTTTTTATTCATTTATTATTATTTTTAATTATGAGATTATGTCTTAAATTTAATTATTATTATTTTTTATGACTTATTCTTTGTATTGTATTTTATTTCTAGTCACGTCTTACAATAACTACTTTACTTTATATATATATATAAATGCATAAATATATATATATAAAAATATGGAAAAGCAAAATGAAAAATCAAATAAAAAACGAACTCTAAACTATTTTCATACAAAAGACAAAAATTATGACATTTTTATTTGTGTTTATTATTTTGATGACTAAATTTAATAGAAAATATATGGGAAAATCCAAACCACCAGTCCAGGCTCCCTATCAGGAATAGTAATTTCAATGTAATTGGAGTCAGAAAAAGAGGACATGTAATCACTAATCCTATTACCTTTACCTAACATATTCCAACTAATTAGTATGTCCAGGATTTATGCACGACCAAAACGTGAAAAGCACCATCCACCAGCGCACTACTTGTGCCTTGCGGGATATTTTACTATCGAATATTTATTAAGGAATCCCAGATGTTCCTTCCAGTCCAAAAATTTCTTCTAAGTTTAATTATTAATTCTACTTCCTGAAATTGATGCTTTCTTCATTTTTAACCCGCTCTCTGAAAAAGTGTCTCTTCACCAAGGCAATTTGACTCACCGCTTGATTTGAAGTGTTTTAATTTTTTCACATTTTTACATCCTCGGTCTAGATAAGGCTTTTAAATTTGTACAGAATCTGCTATTACTCCTAGAATGTTGTGGATTGAGAAGAATATATATCTCCGGTCCACGTTCTGGCATTGCCCCCATATAGCAGTTCCTGCTGTTTTTCGATGTTTCGTAGATTTCTACCTCCATTGAAAGTTAACATTTTGTGTTGTCAGTTGGTAGTTTATTTCCTCGCAAAAATATTCAATAAAGTTCCACTTTTTTATATGGGCCCCATGCGGCGGTAAGTTCGTTAAGTTGAATCTCTTTTGCCTCAATTATCAACCAAATCTGTTATAGTTTGATATTTCAAAAAATATACAATATACACAAAGGCCCCATATAGCGGAACATTCAAATATAGAGGATACTCGATTTGGCCATAAGAAAAGTTTTTGCATGACGGAGATAGAAAAAGTTCTACACGGCCAATCTTATTGATCGAGATGAGGAAGTAATGGGCAGTATCGGCCCATTACTTCCGGTACCTGCTGCACAAAAGGTCAATATTTTCAAAGAAAATATTTTACTTCCTAGAAATAGAAAAACCTGGTTTGTTTTTCAAACAAATAGGTTGCAGTCTGGCTTTTTGGCTTGAGCAACGTTAAGCCATTACTCTCGTATAACTCTACCGCCAGATTTTGGTTATTTTAAAATTCATTTGTACATATCCAACCGCAATTTGCTACTATCCATAGACAACCTTTCCTTAAAAAAATTAAAATTTTAAAATAGCCTTCCTTAAGGATGCCATCTTGTCTTCTTCTTTGGAAAACCCGTGGAGTCTTTCATATGCTGTGTTCCATGTAAAAGTGTTTACCACGATAACCGATTTTTCCTTTATGGTATCAAAAAAAAATTCCGAAAATAGTAAACTCTTGCAGGCTCTGGAACAGAGCAATAATAAGCAAGAATGGGTCTTTGTGTTCTGTTAAATGAAAAACTTGGTCTATTTGGTTTTCTGACGTCTTTATACCTTCCACCTTGGAAAGTAGAGTATATTAACTTTGTCATTCCGTTTGTAACATCCCTAAGTATTCATCGTAGACCCCATAAAGTGTATATATTCTTAGTCAGCATACAATTCTAAGTCGAATTAACGATGTCCGTCTGTCTGTCTGTTGAATTCACGATACAGGCCACATTTTCTGACGTAGAGCGTCAAAATTTAGCAGAACAATTTGTATTGTGTCTAGGATGATTGATATTGAAAATGAGATATATCGGTCCACTTTTTTGTATAGCCCCCATATAACGGTACCTTCCGATATTCGGTATTTTTATGATTTTTGCCACATTTTTTCACGGATTTGTCTGAAAATGGTGTTTGTAGGTCTAGTTCGTGTGGCAAAACATTGCATGTATAGGTATAACCCCCATATAACGGCACCTCCCGATACATATTCGGTGCTTTTATGATTTTTGCCACATTGTTCATGGATTTGTCTAAAATTGGTATTGCATATATAGGTCCACGTTTTGGTATAGCCCCCATATAACGGTACCTCCCGATATTCGGTATTTTGATGGTTTTTGTCACATTTTTACACGGATTTGTCTAAAAATTGGAATTTGTTGGTCATTATTGGTTCTAATGTTTCCATTACCCTAAAGTGGAGGGAATTAATTGGTTGATTGGGTCATAATTGGTTCTAATGTTTCCATTACCCTAAGGTGGAGGGCATTAAAAGTTCGGCCCGGCCGAACTTAATGTTTTTTTACTTGTTTTTTTTTTTTTTTAACTTCAGAGCACATCGTCTCCTAAAAAATGACCATGAAATATGACCTTTCTTTGGGAAGTCATCTTTGAGAAAACTTTTAATTATTTTAAAAAAAACCAGAAAATATATTTTAGACTTCTATTAAATGATGTCTACTCTCAGAAGCTCGACAAGTCTTTCATAAAAAAAACTTGTTTTATTTCCTTTTCCATACAATCTATTTGAGAATTTATAATTGATTGCATGGATTTATGCCGTGGTCAGACAAGTTCCTTAATAAAAATGACAGATGCCATTGCATTGTTATAGCCCCTAAGTTGGTGAAAAACAAAATTTTTAATTTTTTCTCCCTCATACGCAATATTATTTTTATCTAATCAAAACAAATCAAATATAAATATAGAAATATATGCCACACAGCATGTCATTGCGTGGTACATAGTAATACGGCTATGTGCATTTACTGCCTTCCCAACAATGATCATATTTTACTTTATAAGATATTTGAAATATCATCAAGAGCACAGTTTTAAAAATTGATTGTAATAAACAAAAACAACAAAATGCTACTATGTATATTTTTGTATAAATAACGTTTATAAATATATTTACATACATATTTGTAGGTAAACAACGTTTGAATCCTAAACAAAACGCAATGCAATGAAAACCGTCACTATTTTCTAAGAACCACAGGCTTATATTCAAAATGTAGGCTATTAAATAAACAAATAAAAAATAAACAAACAACAATTAAGTATATATTTTAAGTAATTTAGAAGAAGAAAATTTAAAACATCAGTATTCAAAGATAAGGTTATAAGAAGCAAATTAAAAACCTTGAAATAAAAACATAAAGATTATTAACAAAAAATTTTCAAAGAGTTTTATTTTTAGTTTGGAAATTTCGTTGGTGGGCATTTAATGAGCAAAATGAGTACATCTTCTTGTGCTCTTCTTGCACGAGAAAAGAGCACTGATACCTTATGTCCTTCTTCTATTAAAATAGCCTCGGTTCAAATATGTAAGGATATCTCTAATGCCTTAATTTTAACATTTAGGTGGCGGGTGTTTAATAAGCAAAATGAGTACATCTTCTTCCACTTTTTTGTGAAAAAATTTACTGAAGCTAGTAATCTTCTTGCATGAGAAAAGAACGCTGATACCCTACGACCTTCGTTTATCAATTTTCGACTAGGTAGCCTTGCTCAAATCTTTTTGCATTTTTTATAAGAACACTTTCTTCTCGATTTCTTAAAACATATGTTTTATAATTTGCATTCATCCCTAATAGGGGACAGATCTTTGCTTGCTGTTAGAACTATGGTCTTTCTGAAAATAACTTCTTCCCATTATATGCTAGCAAAAAATCGTTGGAATCTTCCTACCTTCCAAAAGAATAATGTGGATGTCATCCCCATAGATCAGAAGAACGTTGTCTTCTCATTGGCGGTCAGTAAAACACTGTACAATAAGAAGAACTTTTGACCTCGACAGGGTGAAATAAAAAAACTGTAACAAAGTCAAAGGCCATAGTTTTTACATTTTTTTTAAATTCCATTGAATGAAAGAAAAAAATATCTGAAATAGCATCAAATGTTAGAATGCCCGAATTTTGCTCTGCGTTATTTTGGCCGTTCCGGCGAAGCGCTTGCTTGAGATGATCGGTATGATCGGATGATGGTATTTTTTAGTGCCAACTTTGCTTTCCAAAATACTCCAGACACAATAGTCCTACGGATTGGAATGTTCAAGGACATGTTGGAATGTCCAAGGACTGCGGCCAAAATGTTTGCGTGCCCAAGGCTATAATACACCCTCCACAATATTTTCACGATAATATTCGGCATTTATTCTGATGCCACGGTAGATTAATACGAGCGGAGAACGATCATCGGCACTTATGGCGGCCCACACCATCACCATGGCTGGCGCTTGAGTTCTGGTGGCCAACCGAAGGTGCACATTTTCAGCTAACTTCTTTGGCAAGTATACACAGTCTTTTGTTTGTTTACAAACTGCTGGACAAGGAATGTTTTCTCAACGGAGAAAACCAATGGCTTTACCCCGAGCTCATTTTTCCATATTTGCCGAATGAAATATTGCGATATGTTCTGCTCACGAGCAATTTTTCCGCCACTGGTTTCGATTAAGTCGCTTCTTTACTTTTCGAATCATTTCGGCTGATGTTGCTGTTTTTTCCGTCCACTTTCTTCACGGTAACGAGCGATGGTACGAGACACAAACGATTTATTCACATTTAAATGCTGGAGTGCTCTAACGATAGCCACTTGTGGTTTTCCAGACAAATATACAGAAATCACACTAACACGCTTGAATTCCATTACGAATCACTTTTTTGAGGAAAATTCTGTCTGAAGTTGGTTGCAGTTTTTTTCATCTCACCCTGTATGGGGAAGACACACGCAATTTTCTTTAGACTTTTATTGAAATTATATTCATAATCCTGTAAATTTATTAATGACCCTTGATCCACTCATAGACCAAAGAATTCGCCCCTCTGCAAACCTATAGACTTGGAGAGTTGAGGAAACAATAATAGGCATCTCTATCCATACTACCCCTATCCAATAATAAAAACGCCACTTGGTAACAATTTTTTGCTTTCTGCAATTGAATTTGCGGGAATGTACAGCGGATGGCAATTCCTAAGCCAATCTAATGAATCTACTTTAGTATTTTCCACTTCTTTTAAAACCTCAAGGGCTTTCTGAAGCAACAATTCATGTGTCATCCTACAGAAGACGAATATCTTCTCATTGGTGGTCAGTAGAATACTGAGTGAGGAAATATTCTACTGACCGTCAATGAGAAGAAATTATGACCTCAATGGGGGAAGACACATACAATTCTCTTTGGGTTTTATTGAAATTTTATTCATAACCCTGTAAAATTAATATTGGTCCTCGATACACTAATAGATCAAAGGATTCGTCCCCTGCAAACCTATGGACAAGGAGAGCTGAGGAAAACAATGAAAGCCATTCCTTATTTCTATCCATAGTACCCCAATACCCAATAATTAAAAGTCTACATATGTATCAACAATATTTTGCTTTCTGTAATTGACTTTAATCAGCATATGCATGCCACCATTGATGGCGGGAATGTACAACGGCCGGCAACCGATAACCCATAATCAGTCCTTCAGCCAATCTAATACATTTACTTCCGTATTTTCCACTTCTTTTAAAACCTCAAGGACTTTCTGACGCAGCGAATCATGTATGGTATCCTGCGATTGACTGGCATCTATTAATTGCCAATAGCTCTTTTCCATTTCATAGATATCTTCAAAGCAGCGGGCAACTTTAGTTTGAAAATCTTCCGTTTCATAACGCTCCTCACCGAATTGCCCACGATTCTGCAGAGTGGCAACGTTCGTTTTTAAATAGAAAACCACATCTGGTCGCGGTAGTCCACTTTCTGGTGACATGCACCATTGCTTGGACATTCCTTTGGCCACACTATAGGCCAAACCGCTATATGCATAACGATCTACCACCAGGGTTGTGCCAGAATTTAATAAATTCAAGATATGATTTTTATGTTCCCAGCGATTGGCTGTGAAGAGTAGATGAATGGTTTCATCATTCAATTCCTGCTTGTTTTTTATATACGCATTGATGACCTGTCCAATGTCGGATGTACGTTCCGGAAATGCCATATATTTGACTGGTATCGAACAGCTCTCCAAGTATTCTACCAATTTCCGTGATTGGGTAGATTTTCCACAGCGATCACATCCTTCCAAGACAATAAATGCTCCACGTTTTATCTGCGACATGTTGTGCAGGGGAATAAAAAAGAAATATAAACCGGCCGGCCATGGCGTCGGAATATTCGCAATAGAAAGACCGTTTGGGCGAATTCATTCAAAAAGCAGCTGTTTTCCTAAATTGAGGGCAAATAATAATAGGTTTGTATCATTCTTAGTCTAAAAGCTTTATTTATCTCCCAATAAGAAGAAGCATAAACAATGACAGCCGATGTACTCTGCTTATCTTATTTTTATTAAATAAATGTAAGTTCGGCCGGGCCGAACATTGAATACCCTCCACCATTTGGAACGAATTTTCAATTTTCAAAAACAATAAAATCTTAAAAATACCGAATTTAGCTGTTATATTAGTGTCTATACGATGACATGGACCTGCATGGGTAACATTTGTTATGAGCCAATACAATATTCAAATGCGAAACTTAAAAAAATTGGTAATAAGGTAGGTAAAATCATCAAAATACCGAATATCGGGAATATACGAAGACGTTGATCTGAGCAAACACCTTTCTGTCTTAGGCTGTATTATCCATTACGAACTTCAAATACCAAATTTGAAACAATTCCGGTGAATAAATTCGCTAAAATCATCAAAATACCGAATATCGGGAGGTACCGTTATATGGGGGCTATACCAAAACCTGGACCTATATGGCCCATTTTCAATACCAAAAGTCCTGCAGACATATGATACATTTGAGTAAACATTTATCAATCTACTTCAATTTTTCGGAAGCTAGAGTGATTTCCACAGACTGACAGACGGACGGACATCGCTAAATCGACATAGAATTTTATGCTGATCAATAATATATATACTCTGTGGGGTTTAAAATGTGTATTTCGAGGTGTTACAAACGGAATGACAAACTTAATGTACCCTCCACAATATAGTGGAGGATATAAAAATAGTTATCTTACACACCTAACGTTAAATGATATTTAACCGAAATGATCGAAGCGAATTGACCCTACATTGTCTTAATTACACCGGCAAAAAAGTTATAATGCAACTACTCCAATGACTAATAATAATTAAATTGTCACGAAAAGAATAAATGCAATACATAAATGATATAATCGATATAACATAGATTGTCTGATACAGAACCTGCAAGAATCTGCCAGCTTTGCCATGGTAAGAGAATTATTCTTCTGCCATGTGTTTTGCATTTTTTCGATAACTGATTTTCCCCTTATTATATCGAAAAAAATTGCAAAACTAATTTTGCAAGTTCTGGAACAGAGCGATATTTAAGAGACCAATAATAAAATTCAAAGAACAAATTCAATTCTGATGAGATCTCCGCTTTTATGCAGAAATCATGCTATCATTTTACAGTGATTAGCAGAAATATCGGCGTTTCTTCGAATTATCACCGGTCCGACCTTGTTGTCTTCTTCAGTTTGGATCGCTTTTATGTATAACTACATTTGCATTTTTCTCATGCCTCATTCGTAAACAACATAGTTGTCGGTTATTTTGCTTTCTGTTGGTTTTTATCGGGCATTACCTTTTTGTCTTTTCATTTGTTTCAGTGGGACGCCTTTTATTTTTGTTTCCGAGCGCCACAGCAAGGAATCTCGAAGATTCTCGCTCAGAAGAAAACTCTTCATTTGAAAATCAAAAACCTCCACAATGGTGCACAAAATGGAATGGTATATTGGCACTGAATGGCAATTGGAACGCAAAGGATTGCACAAAAAAGTTCTTGCTCATGACTTTACTAAATTGGAAAAGCCTCATGCCGTGGCCAAGGTAGTTATTTGTGTGGAGAAGGTGGAAAATCTCAATGGACGTGAATCGATTTATCTAAGTGAGGACAAATTAAATAAATCACAAAGCATGGAAATGGGTAGTGCCTTAAGTCCGGTGGATTATTATTTGGAAATGCTTGTACAACAAATGGTCATCGGTGAAAAGGCATTGTGTACGATAAAAACAAAAGAGGCCGGCAATGAGATACGCATAACAATGAGCCTTAAAGAAATTCAGGAATCCAAACCCATACACAAGTTAAGTGTGCCGGAAATGTATCATCTAGCTTTGAAATACAAAGAGAATGGTGTGAAAATGTTCAAAACTTATCCGGTGTTTGCCCATGAATACTTTGCCAGGGCAGCCAAGTGTTTGATTTCCTTTAAGGAATTTGAGGGTCTGACCAAGAAACGTGATGGCATGGCTGGAAAAGATTTATATGAGCTTTTTGTGCAAATACAAACTAATTTGGCGGCATGTTTGCTGAATGCCAAACGTTATGAAGATGTCATTTATCAAACCAATTTTGTGGACAAACAAAATTCGCCATCCGAAAAGAGTGTCTACCGTCGTGCCATGGCCTATTATCATTTGTCGGAATTTGATCTGGCCCAAAAGACTATAGAGAAGATCCCGAATTATGAAGAGAAAAAGGAGTTTAATAATCTGTATCACAAAGTGGTGGAGTGCCGCAGGACCAGCAATGCCAATTACAAGGGCATGGTTAAGAAAATGTTTGGTTAGTTGGTTAAATAAGTGTGTGGCTCTATGTAAGTTAGTTATTAAAAATATATTTTATTTACTTTAAGTTAACATAAACTTAAAAAAAGAAACGAATAGTTGATTGTAAAAAGTTCCCTAATAAATTATTTACAGTGTTATTTTTTCTTATTAAATTTAAACGATTTCTTATCCTTGAAACCGCCTTTCTTTTTGTCGCCCTTATCCTTGAAACATCCCTTTTTCTTGTCACCAAAGGATTTGCCGTTTTTGAAACCGTTTTTATTGAAGTCTTTTTTACTGCCACCGTCCTTGTTGTTTTCCAATTTGGGTTTTTTGTTTTTAAAACTAGGTGGCAATTTGGTTCTTTTTCTCGATTCGGGTTCTGTGGATTTGAAAAGTTCCTCATCGGGTTCTTCGCCCACTTCTTCTTTGTAATAGACGGCATCGTCGTCTAAATCACTGGCCGCAGCCACCTCTTCGTAGTCAACCTCTTCAGTGCCTTGACCAGGGGTTTTGGATTTCTTTTGTTGTTCTTTGAGTTTCCGTGCCCTATTTTCGGCTTGCTGCTTTTTACGTTGTTCCTTTAGTTTTTGTTTCTTTTCCACCATTTTTCTAAGTTCTTCCTTTTCTTCTTCTGTCTTAACAATGTGATCGTGGTAGAGAACTTCACCGGTCAACAGGCCTTCTTCGATTTTCATCAGTTGCATTGTCATACGAGGTCCAATCTCTTGGAGTCTAATTGCTGATTTATTATTTTCCAGATTGCCTTTACGTTTGAGCGTTTGTGGTAGAACTACTTGGGTATTCTCATCGTCTTCAGCTTCGGACTCGGAGGCGTTTCCATCCCTGAAAAATAAAAAAAAGTCAATGTTAATTAAAAGGTTTTTAGTTTAACGAATACATCAAATTCCTACAAAAAACGTCAATGCGGGAGCTTGTGCATAGAGACTACATATGACTATTTTAAAATATCGTTCTCAAAAAAGATCAACAGCAAAAGAGCTGCTTTACGCATATCCCATCAATAATAACAAACTATGCTTAAATCGTGAACCCATATTTGGCCAAAAACCATGTCTGTTCACATTTGTTTAGCTTGGAAAATATTCGCCTATTGTACATTACTCCGAATATTCGAAGAAAAACAGTGGGCTTCCTTTTCTATGAGAAAAACATTTTTTGTTTACTGTCCATGGGTCATGTACCTATTAAGTCCCGATATAAATCTATTTCGCTATGCTTATATTTGAAATTGTCCTGCCCTCTTTAGAATACATCCGCACAAAATGGTCCATGGGGGAACTTTTTGAATAGAAAAAGACCCACATATTTACATAGCCTCTATTTTATATGCCTTTGTATTGACACATCCATCATAAAGTCGCTGTCCAATTATAGAAAATTCCAATATCTCGAATCGTCAAAACTTACTGCATTATGAACTCGGCAATATCTTCACATTTCGCTAGATTGGGAATTTTCCCCATAACCAGTTTTTTGACACCTTTGTTAAGGCCAACAGGTACAACTTGTATGGAATAGTGTCTCATCTCGACCAAGTTTGTTTCGGGATTATATGAGAATAAAACACAGCGCCTTATTGTTGCAATATTAACCTGGACCATAAATGAAAAAAAAATCTGTAATTCCTTTCGAAAACACACAAACTCATTTCAACTCACCTCCGCCAAATTAATAGCAGGAAACATATTTTGGAAGGTATGGGCCATCAGCTTCAAATGTTTACCATCACCCGTAAAGTTATTCATCACCACCAACGGTGAGTGTTTGAACATGCCCTCATCGATAAATTGCTTCTTATTCTGTGATATCACATCGCGGGCTAGCGTAAATTGATGTACCTTAAATGTTAGAGTGGGACCACGGGGTAAACGAGCCACCTTGAACGACAGCTGGGTAGCCGCCTTATTGAAGATACCCATATGCGAGACATGAAAGAAACTACTAACAGCAACAAAATCTTTTATACGATTGATTTTCTTCTCCTTCAATTCACTGGCCGTAAATGGTTCCATAATTCGACGAAAATCCAATGTCAAGTCGGTAATGAATGGACAGGACAGACCACGATGTATAATGAAGGAATGAGGTGCCTCGGCCAATTCACTCGGTTCGCCTTCCTTAAATGCGGCAGTACGCTTCTTGGGATGTTTCTTCTTGGATTTGCCCATTCTTTGTGTTTATTAAGTAACTTTTAATTCAAAATATACCCAGTTAAATTTCAAATGAAAACAAAATGTTTGACTGCCCACCACCGCGTGTTTCAATCAGACAACGAAGCGAAGCGACTTTTTCACGGCGGCGACTTATCATGGGAAGGTACAGTGTACTCTGCACACACACACATTAACAACTATATACACGTTTACACCAACACAGAGAGTTGGGAAAGATGCGAATGAAGGAAGAGGCAATACACCGCAACAGTTGTTCCAATCAAAACATTAACACGTGAAACATCAGGGGTCTATAGATCGATTTAGACCGCTCAACATGAGAATAGTCATGGCGACAAATAGAACTGAAATGTCGAATTGCGCTGAAGAAATGATTACAAGGTAGGACAGATTGTTTAAATTCACAAAAATGCAACATTGGAGCCAGAGTATTGTAAGCACAAGTTTACTAATATAAAATTCAATAAGTTCTTTTGTTTATTTGACAAAAATCGCAAAACATAGATGGAAATTCACGGATATCGATTTCCTAACATAATAACGTTTTTTTTTGTATTTCCCAAAAGCTGTCTGGTCTGAAAGTAAAGGTTTTCACTACGATAACCGATTTCCCTTTATGATATCGGAGAAAATTGCAAAATTTGAATATTCTTGCAGGTTCTGGAACAGACCATATATGAATTTATATTTCAATAGAATTTGAAAATATAAACATTATTGAAAACCCTTCATACTCACACTAAAACTGTATATATGTTTCCACAACACACGTCCACTGTAAAAAAATATTTTATTCAAGTAGAACTGGGAATGTTAATTTGAAATGACTTTACTCTCTTAATTCTACCACGGCCCAACATTGTACAATGGACTGGCTTTCTAATTAAAATTTTTAACCAAATTTAAACTAGGTCACAATAAATAAAGTGAATTTTTCGCTTTTATCTTTTGGAAAATTCGCATAAAAAACTCGCACACGTTTCGTGTTTTGTTTTGCTGTGAAATATCTTAAATTTGGACTATAATATAACCATGAACGATCCTACAAACGAAATCTTTGAGTTTTATTATCAGAATGAATTGAATTTTATTATCCGTGATTTGCCAGAATATTCGATTTTGGAGTGAAGAACGGCTAGAAGCGTTTCAAAAGCTACAAATGAATCAAGAAAAAGTTTGGTGCAGATTAGGGGCTGATGGCATCATTAGGTAACTGTGAATGGAAAGCGCAACCGTGAGATGATATTCAACTTGTTTTTTACTAAAATGCGTCATCCCCACCACCTTAATAGTGGAAGAATACTGTTACAGCTGGTGGTACAATGAACCGCCAAAGCTTTTTTAAAATGAAAAATGTTGAATGAAAAATTACTCAAATTAGTTAAAGTTGTTGAAAAAACATACCATAACATTAAAAATTGATTTATGTTTTGAGGAATATTAATATTTTCATGGTTTACAAGTGTTGATGCAGCTTCTTGTATTTACTAAGATGGTAACTCTATCAATGTCGCGTAGAGCCTAATCGACTTAGGTATCCCTGTTTGTTATTTATAAAAACAGCTGTGTTGTTAATGTGTATGTGTTGTGAGGGCACAGAAAGCACAACTCGTCGCCGCCGTCGATTGGTCTACACAAGATTACCCGCCGCCGTTCAAAAATTGTTGTCTTCGTTGTCTATAAGACACCCAATGATTGACTTCTATAAACAACAAAAAACAATAAACTAAAAACAAGTGTTAAAAGTGTAAAAATTGAAAATATTTGTGCCTTTTTACCGAAGAATATACCAAAAACAAAGAATGCTTGCAAATTAAATGATTATTTTAGAACAAAAATGTGGAAATAATAAAATTCAGAAATAAAACAAAAGACAGACCATTTCCCAAGAGTGTTAAATCCAATTGTTGATTCGATAGAAACAAAAACAGTGCTTAGTCATCATCATAATCTTCAATAATAAATGGTTAATAACAAAATGGATTAAACAAATTTGGTGTTCCCTGCAAAACAATTTTGAAATAATATGCCATAAAGTAAGTATATAAGTTTTGTTATTCTTTTTCGGGTTCTTATTGTTGAACTTGCTCTTGATCGTGTATTTTTGTTGTTGCTTTCTTATGGTATGGATGGTATTTATCCATTGAAAACTGAAAACGTGAACATCTGGCATTTTGTTGTTATGATTATTTGCCATTGTGTTGGAAGAGGAAGCAGCAAGCGTAGCGTTATGGTGGGAAGAGACAACACAACAAAAATAAAAACAATGGGAGAAAAATAAATTCTGTTGTCTTACTGAACGCCATTGCTTTGCCATCATATCACCAACACCATTACTAGCAGCCAATGCCGCCACCACACCACACCAGTGGCAACAAATATTTTCAAAGCAGCTCCAACAAAACCAAAGAAAAACGCACGACTTACAAACGTGTTTGTTCTATATTTTGATTGTTCAGTTTTGTGTTCTCATTCCCCTCGTTTGGTTTTCATAATTTATGCAAAGCATCGTTGCCACAATGCATTCTGGCAGGCATATTCATGCACTCACATTACTTGGATCTTGTGCAGTTTTGGAGCAACTTGAAATGTGTTGAATAAACCAGTTTTGGTTGGCTCTCAAACACATATAAACAATGTGTAGGCCACAGGCTTACTGGCAAGTTATGCTAAAAGCTTGGAATGAAATTATTGCATTTTTGGCGCGAACTCGTAGCATGAGTTTGGATGGTTGTTTTTGAGCTTTTATGCTGCTGGCAAAGGATTTGTAAATTGTAGAGCAGAAAAAAATTAAGGTTATTGTGTACACATTCAAGGTTGAATTTGCATTGAGAATTTCAATGTCATGCCATGGTGACAGCTGTGAATGCTATTTCAAATGGAAATACTGTAGCAAATTTAAAGGTGCAGCAACATTTAAAGGAAAGTTAAGAGTTTTAGTTCCAGAAGGAATAACTAAATTAATAAAAATATTGAATGGAGTCTAGCCGAGCTGAAGGTTACTTAGTATCTGGAGACTAATGGGGTCTTCATACAGAAACTGTGCTGAATGCCAGGAAGCCAATATAATCGAACTAAAAGTTAAGTAGTCCCGGTAGACGGACTGAAAATGCAAAGTCTTCGAAGAGGTAATGAAAATCAGGGAGTTACGCGATATTATGGTTAGGGAGTCCCGGTGGATATGTTAGACACCAAGGTATCTCTTTAGACGACTGAATGAAAGAGCTGAGGTCCATATACGAGCTGAGGTCATGAAGTTTCAATAGAATAGAATATGGGGATGTTTTAAAAGGCGAAGCGAGGGTCAGGATGCTCGAATAGACAAGCTGGGTCTCAGGGAGTCTGAATAGGTGAACTGGGTTCAGGGAGTCTGAATGTATCAGCTGAGGACCAGGGAGTCTTAGGAACTAGCTGAAGCCCAGTGAGTCTCAATAGGCGATTTGAGAGCCTAGGAGTCTCAATACACGATTTTAGGGTCAGGGAGTTTCAATAGGCGATTTGAGGATCAGAAAATCTCAATAAACAATTTGAGGGTTAGTGAGTCTGAAGCGATTTTAGAGTCGGGGAGTCTCAATAAGCGATTTGAGGGTCAGTGAGTCTTAATAGACGATTTGAAGGCCAGGGAGTCTGAATAGACAAGCTGAAGGCCAGGAAGTCTGAATGGACGAACTGAGGGTAAGGGATTCTCAATAGACAAACTGAGGGTCAAGGACTCTCAATAAACAAGCTGAGGGAGACGGTGTTTCAATAGAAGAACTGGACAGGGAATCACAAGAGAAGATCTTAGGGTTAGGGAGCAACATCAGAAGATCTGAGAATCAGGGAGTCTGAATAGACGAGCCGATGGGCCAGGTAATCCAAACGGACCAGCTAAAGTTCAGGAAGTCTGAATAGACGAGCTGAGGGCCAGGGAGTCTGAATGGACCGGAAAAGGACCAGGAATTCTAAATATACGGTCTTAGGGACAGGGAACCTAAATAGACTAGCTGCTAGTCAGGGTGTAGGTGTGGCTGGGCAGCGAGTAGATGTGGTTGGGCAGCGAAATATTTGCAGCGTGTCATGTAGGGGCAGCTCTCGCTCCTCAGCTACAATGGGAGGTTATGATTTCCTAGTACCGCGTTTCCTGAGACCGCGTTAGAGTGAATTCTATTCAGTTCTGCTTGATAGGCCTGTTGATCTAGAGACTCTCCCTTATACCTCCATCTCTAGATCATGAAGGTCTTTCCTTAGGTGCATGGTTGCGAAGGTTGTCCACCCCACCAGATGGTGACTCGGATGGCTCTGTCTATAACACCCAAGCAGGTATTGAACTGATAGCATTTTATACTGCTGTAACACCGGAAAGATCTTCGCCTCCTTATGACAGTTAGCAGTTGACTTTGTGGAGACCTCTGGACTTCAAATTCCAGTTCATTGACTATATAGCGAGCGACGTGGTTAATTGGAGTGCAACCCTCTGGGCTTATGAAATCGGACGATCGATCAGTTAATGGAGACGATTATGGGGTGGTATGATTCTTGATTCGTTGAGGAATCCTCATTTGTCAAGCAAAGTTGTCACTTCGTTCTGCAGCAGTCAGTTTGCTCTGCCATCGTTGATAATTTTCATTCGGTATCCTTTAAAACCCCAGTTGTACAGTTCAAACTGCTGATTTAGATAACATTTTGCTATTTTCAACTACTGCTGTTGCCATGCGGATATTTTCCATATCTCATTTTCCCCATCACAATGACATTCCTTTTGTCCCATTACCAACTCCTTGCAGTACTCCATAACATTTTTGCAAGAGTCCATGTAAAATATTGACATTGTAGCACGTGTTCCACACACAATTCGCTACAACCACCACCACCAATATGCTCTTGTGTTGAAGAAGAAAATCTACAACAACTTCTTTGCTTACAATAACTGCAACTGTTACCACCGTAAGTGGATTGGCATCAATTCAAGCATCACGCGTAACTCGGGGAGTTTTACAAAGCACCGACTTGAGAATCGTTGCCAGTTAGCAACAGCATAGAAGTATGTCCTTTATTCTTTGATTCTTTTTGGTTTTTCCTTTTGAAAGAAACTAAAAAAGGGGAAAATCTTTCTTGTTTTCGTTGTTGTTTATGTGACAGTGTCACCCAACGGTATTGTAAGAAGTAAAGAGGTTAGACATATTAAGGGAAACTATGATGTCTTCCTTTTGTGATCAGGTACTGGGAGGGGGGCCCGTTGTGTAAAGTAATGAAATCAATGTCGTGTAAGAGTTGAAACAGGGGTTTTGGTTCAATGCAGTCCAAAGACCAGAAGTCTTTAAGGATGATGTGAATACGAAGGAGGAGTCTTAAGGAAGGACCCAAAGAAAAATTGTGGGAATTCTTAATGGACGATCTAATGACGGGGTTTCTACTGATACCCCCAAACACTTGAACGTCAGGGACCAGTCAAAAACGGCTCGCTGTCCATCAGTTATTCAATAACAACTTCCTGACCATCAGCTAGTCTATAATGCCTTCCTGGCCATCGGCGAGTCTATTATTCCACCCTGACCGTTATAGCCTAGCTGATGTCCAGGGAGTCGTTATAGACTTGCTGATGGCCAGGGAGTCGTTATAGACTCGCTGAAGGCCAGGGAGTCGTTATAGAATCGCTGAAGGCCAGGGAGTATTTATAGACACGCTGGTGGACAACTTCCTGGCCATCAGCGAATATATAACGACTCGCTGACTATCAGTTAGTCTATAACTGCTCCTTACCCTCATCTAGTCTATAACGAATCCCTGGCCTTCAGCGAGTCTATAACGACTCCATGGCCTTCAGCGAGTATATAACGACTCCCTGGCCATCAGCAAGTCTATAACGACTCCCTGGACATCAGCTAGGCTATAACGACTCCCTGAGCCTGAGCTATGGCAACTCCCTGACCCATCAGCTAGTCTATGGCGAATCCCTGACCTTCAGCTGGTCCATGGCGACTCCCTGAGCATCCTGACTCTTTGAGCATCAGTTAGTATGGCGACTCTTTGAGCATCAGCTGGTCTATGACGACTACCTGAGCATCAGCTCGTCTATGGCGACACCCTGATCATCAGCTCGTCTATAACAACTGCATGACCATCAGCTAGACTATGGCGACTCCCTGACCATCAGCTAATCTATGGCGACTCCCTGACCATCAGGTGGTCTCTGGCGATTGCCTGAGCATCAGCTCGTCTATGGTGACTCCCTGAGCCTCTGCTCGTCTATGCCGACTGCCTGGCCTTCAGCTGGGCTATAATGATTCCTTGAGCATGAGCTCGTCTATGGCAACTCCCTGACCCTTAGCTCTTCTATGGCGACTCAAGCATCAGCTCGTCTATGAAAACTGTGAAGATTCCCTAAGCATCAGCTTGACTATTGAGACTCCCTGAACATCAGCTAGTCTAAGGCGACTGCCTGACCATCAGTTAGTCTATGGCGACTGCCTAAGCATCAGCTCATCTGTGAAAACTGTGAAGATTTCCTAAGCATCAGCTTGACTATTGAGACTCCCTGAACATCAGCTAGTCTAAGGCGACTGCCTGACCATCAGTTAGTCTATGGCGACTGCCTAAGCATCAGCTCATCTGTGAAAACTGTGAAGATTTCCTAAGCATCAGCTTGACTATGGAGACTCCCTGAGCATCAGAGTGAGTATGACAATTCCCTGAGCCTCAATTCGTCTATGGCGACTCCATTAGCATCAGCTCGTCTATGGCAGCTCGCTGATCTTCAGCTCGATTCTTAGAACTAATTGGTCTTCAGGTAGTCTCTCAAAATAGATGGTCTCAAAGTATGTTATAAAAAGGTTCTTTGAAGACTCCCTGGTTGTCTCAGATCAGATCGTCTATGGAGAGGCTCATTACTGTGGACCCGGTGCTCTTAAAAATTTCTAAAAGGATTCCCTAATTTCAAGGCTATTGCCATTTAAGTTCTTCTCTGTATAGAACTTATTCCTTTACATATATTGCTCCTTAACACACACACACACACACGCGCACATATGCTCGCCCATCTATCTAATATTTCTAC